TGGAAAAGTGGGGGTCGTCTTGTACATGGGGGCGTCTTATTGACGGAAAAATACGGTACATAGAGGTGGTTTGGTCATATAGAAAGAATGAATGAGGATCAGAACAAAAAAACAAATCTCTGAAGGAAAAGGGAATGGGTCAAGAGGAAACGAAAGACTGAAAAAGTTGTAACTGGATGGAATTGATGAGATCCTTTAAAAAGAGAAAGTTGAGAAAGTTGAAGAAAAGGCAGTGGATGAGGTAGTGGATAAATGTGGTGGATGCAAGGGTGATTTGCAAGGATAGAAAAGTAAGGAGAATTATGGTGTTACAGGTAGTCCTCACTTAACAATGGTAATTGGGACCAGAAACTCTGTTGCTAAGCAGCATGGTCATTAAGCATGATGTCATGTGGCTGTGCCATTTAGTGATAGCAGTTCTGGCAGTCTCGGTTGCCTTCATTAAGCGTGGACTGGATGGTTGTTAAGCAGGTACTTCATGTGACCGTGACTTGCAGCCTCCTGCCAGCTTCCCCATTGACTTTGCTTGTGAGAAACCAACAGGGAAGGTCACAAATCGTGATCATGTGACCACAGGATGCTGTGATGGTCAGAAATGCAGGCTGGTTACCGAGTGCTTAAATCGTGATCATGTGACTGAGGGAGTGCTGTGACTGCTGCAACTATGAGGACCAGTCGTAAGTACCATTCATTCAGCCCCATTGTAACTTCGAATGGTCGCTGAACAAGTGGTCGTTGAGTGAGGACTATCTGTATAAGAACTAAATTTCCTTCTCCTTTTGATATTTATGCTTTAATTCCTCTGGGTTACTATTTCCTTGCATTTACCTTGCTTCCCCTGAAAAGAAATAATGTGATGGGTATGTACGTCCAAATGTCAAGTTCAATTCAAGTAAAAGGATTAATTAATAGTTACCAGTAGACACACCAGGAGGGTTTACAGTTTCACCCCAGACTCATGACCTCAATCAACATTGTACAAGTAACACATCATTAATCATGTTAATGAGGGTTATTATCATTTAAGTACTGTTTGGCATGAATATTATGTTTTCAGTGTACACTTTAGCCCTTGGTATTTCCCTTCTTGTCTCTTGGAGATTGCCTTGCTTCCTCCAGCAGAGCTGCCCACCCTCAGTCACTGCCCCCTCAAGCAGTCTTTGTGAGGCTTTGAGGGGTGGGGAACGTGCAAAACGTTGCCACCTCTACTTGCCATCCCATCTACATGCCATGAATAGGGAGCTTACACCATGGATTGGAAAGAACAGCCTCTAGTATGGCAACCATGTTTCAGCCTTGATCCTGAGACTAAAGGAAATAGGACAATTAAGATGATTTTACTCTGAAGGACTACCCAGAGAAGGACCCCATGGACTTTCATTAGAATCCACTGCTGGTTTCATTTGAAGAAGAAATATCCTCCCATCCCACCCCCGCGCTTCATTTCTCACCTCCCTACTCTTTCTTTTTTTTTCTTCTGTTGTCTTGTGAGCTGATGACTTGCTTGTTGTTTTGCTCAAACAGGTGAACATGCGTACAAATGTTCCTCCTGTTCATTTTCCACCATGACAATCAGCCAGCTAAAAGAGCACTCCCTGAAAGTGCATGGAAAGGCACTGACACTACCAAGACCAAGAATTATCAGCCTTGTAACCTCGCATGCTCAACATGCCTCCAAGAACCACACTACTGCTGAAGAAGTGGAAGACTCGAATGGTAAGAGGTGCTCTCTGCACATACGCTCACGCACGCACGCACACACCCAGGGTTCTAGAGGGAGAATCTGTTTCTTCTCTTTATGGGGAAAAAGCAGTGTAATTAAGAGGTAAAGGGGGAAAAAAAAACCCTTCCCAAACAAGCAAATTGCAATCCATGGGCGTTAATAGGCATAGGAGAGCAGTGTTTGTTCACACTTTATCCCTATAATTGCCAGGTAGACCGTTTAGATTTCCCTGCATTTCTTCTTCTGTGTCTTAGGATACTACATTATCAATATTTTGAAGCTTTAAAATGAAGAGGTAAAAGCATGCTGCAGACATTCCCCTAGCTGAGTATTATGTTGCAGAAACAAGGCTAAAATATTGTTGGTTGTTGGCTGCCACCATTCATACAATAGTAGTGAGAGGTGTTTGGGAAAGCAAATGTGTTGATTCATTTTTAAGTAATGCCATATGGAGCCAGGGAAGATGAAATGAGAGCCTTCCTTAGCTATGGTAAAGGGATGAGCCGTGCAATTCCTCCTCTCAACACATATCCTTCCTTACAAATTCTGACATATTCAGACACTAGGCTGTGAAAATATCTACAAAAATCAGCTAGCAAGTCTCTGAGTAGCCTTCACAAAATGTTTAACCCCAGTGAAGGTTAATGCTGTGAACTGGTCCATCTCTTCAGCTGTTAGGGGTCAATCTACATTACAGCCAAACTGGCCTTGTGGTTTTTGTATGGCAAATATGGCACCTGTGAAGGGAGCATTATACTATGCTAGTATATATATGCTAGTATATATATGCTAGTATATATACTATGCTAGTATATATATGCTAGTATAGTTAATTTCTTAGAATTCTATCACTTTCTTCCATATAACAGATTGTTTAGAAGTTGATAACTTATTTTTAAAGCATTATCAGGTAACATATTTAATGAACTTTTGGTTGGCATATTGTGTGTCAGATGGTGTAATCTTGAGGATCTAGCTTAATCTTAAAAAACTATGAAGGGTCAGCAAATATTTTAGCACACGCGTGAGGAGCTGCAAGGCAACTACATCTCTCTGCCACAGGCTCAATTTCAGTAGATCCTTCGGTCAAAAGAAAATTGTATTTGGTCACAGTTTTTTCTGGTAGGGTATGGAAAGAATAATTAATCCTGATTTAAAACCAAAGCGATGAGTAAAAGAAGCATTGCATTGTTTTTTGAGCATGGGGAAAGATTGGGAGGTTATATCTTATTCTTTGTTAGGGACTGACATAATTGCTTCTGTTTTTATAATGGATTTGTCAGATGAGCAGAATAAATCTTAGGGCTTTGGAAATTGGAAAAAACTGAATCTGTGTTGATTGCTATTATTAAAGGGTAGTTT